TGTGTGTCAATCCTAATTCAAATCAAAGTATACATTAAAATCAACAAAAATTACAGTAAAGGCCAGAGTTATGCCACACAAACACATTAACCGTTCATTATCTCTACCACTCCTACCGTTAATACATTAAATATTTTCACTTTTCTCTCAACAATATTTCAGTTTTTTATAAGTATTTCTTAGAGTTTGAAAATCATTTGCAATTATTTGATGTGATTTATTGTGACATAACTATAGTCTCAGTGAATAAATATATGAAACGATAGTTAATTTTATAAATAAGAGCAGAGATGACAACACATCAGAAGTGAACAAATGAAGAGTCAATTAGAGAATATTGTTAGCGATTTCCTCGTCATAACTGTTATAATAGAGGATAACATTCACAGATTAGTCGACAATTTGTTAGATACAATAGAGAGATAGACACACAGATACCATTGTAAGCTATTGACAGTTAAAAACATTGAATATAAACTGAGTTATGAATGCAATGACAAAAGACTTACATTTTGACGGCATCTGGAATAGCGATGTGCTCTATAGGTAAGAGAGCACTCAATTCGGCTAAACTTGCCACGAATTTAAGTTTCTTCGAAAACTTCGAACTATAGTTATAATGAGTTTTAGTTCACAACTCGTGTGCAAAGGATTACAGGAATACCTGATGAATGGTTTGCTCATAATTATCAGAGTCTTCAACNAGGAATACCTGATGAATGGTTTGCTCATAATTATCAGAGTCTTCAACCAGAAGGTCGGGTGAACTAAATAAAGTCCTTTCAAATTCTTCTTCAGTTTCCTGTCCATCATATAATAGCATCGCTTAAGCCATCCAAATGTAGGCATATTATTGCCGAGAGTGGAGACCCCGGCGTTATGGAAGTATATGAGGATATAGTCGTCGGCAATCAGGTTATGGAGAGTCGTCAACACATACCTAAACACAAACTTTCTATTATTCTATGCCCACAAAGTGAAATCAAATCACATGAATAGGTGGTCCATAACATAATTGTAGTCTTTTCGTGAGCGGTCGGGCAGATAACAGGCAGAGAACACTATAATCGCAGGACTCGAACCTATTGGACAACCATTTATGAAATACTCTTACCGTAATAATCAAAAATATAGACAATTATATGCAAACCTGACTGATGACTGTTCCCAATAGTCGAGTGAAAGTATCCACCGTGTGATATGACTTTTTTGTACGGATCGATAACTTTCATATCAATTACTTTAACGTCACCTTCGGGTCCAATAGGACACGACTCCCTCCAGCCTCTCGTTTCATCCAACTCTTGGCGCGCTGTTAGCTCTGCAATCGTATCCGATGGGCCGCCATTACTCTCCTTATCTGAGAATTAAAACATTCCTTAAATAAGAAATTCTTTCAAATTAAACACAAATACTTTACCATTAAATTCGTCGCTTTTAAAGAACTCTCGATTCACTGGTATCTTCTTTTTGGTAGTCGACGGCCTCCGAACCAATCCTTTTACACATTATTTCGAAACATTAATTTCATAACAAATTCTCAAAAATAACATTAATATAAGAAATGAATAGAAGAGAAGTGAAGACAGTATCAGAGCTTGAAATCAATGATCAGACGATCACCAGGAGAGCAATGAGTTTTTGGAAGCGTTTTTACATTCATTCTAACCTTTACTTTCAGACTCTTCGTTGCCATTCAAAGTGTTGACATTTAAATCAATATTTGTTTGATTGGAATCAAAATTAATTGTCTCNGAACTGCTTCTCCCTCTCGGCCTTAAACTTGTCGATCTCATGGTTGGCCTCGTCTTTGGCCTGTTTCAGACGCCGGGCCTTTCGTTTGCGGGCCTCTTGGACCTAATCACCACAACAACCACATTACCATTAAGTCACACCACATCCACCAATCACTTCACTATACCTTCTCCGCCGCCCTCTTCTCGGCCGTCAATAGTTGTTGAATGCCTTGTGTCTGACTCGCCATCACTTAACACTCAATGCAAACCCAATTCAATTGAATTCAACTTAAATTGTGTATCAAATGCAATGTCTGTAGTGATCACTGCTATGGAAAACGCCTACTCCTGTGAAATCCTATGCAAGCGTTCAGTGAATGTCAATAAATGTATTCATCGTATGAATAGAGGTGTTGAACGGAGTTGAAGGCATCCATAGGATGCATGTGTCGGACAATGCGCTCATCTGCAGTAGGCCTCACTTCCCGCACACATCCGTATTCATGGTTGACATTCATGACTGTGAGAGTCAGCTGACAGTTATGTCTCTTTAACTTGAAGTCCATTTCCAGGATTCAGTGAAACAGTCACTCAATTGGCTGTCGATTGCTATTAAAACACGGATTGCTTTCAATTGTTATTAACTTTACATTTGATTTAATTTATTATAATTTTCGTGTTTATGAAATGCTTTTATGAGTTATTTATTGTATAATTGATTGCATTCATCGCGAGTCCAATCAAAAGGCATTTAACCAAACAAATGGATAACTATTTGGAGAATTGCAGGAAACAATTGGTCTGATATAGTGATGACCAGGTCTTGTGATTTGGTTGCACTCATGGTGTGATTGATTATCTCATTGCAGGCATCATTGGCTCAATGGACTGATCCGATAGAGTTAGTGGTGGGCAATGAGAGCTGTGATCTGGACTCAGCTGTCAGTGCCGTCGGTCTGGCCTTCATTAAACACATGTCGTGTAAAGTGAGTGAACGTATGGACACCCGTTGTCCTCCATCTCTCATATCATGTCTAATGTCTTGTAGAAAGTGGAGTCCAATAAGCGACTAATAATCCCAGTGTTGAACACAACTCGCAGTGAACTCCAACTGAAGACGGAAGTGATCTTTTGGTTTGAAAACTCCGTGCATTTGAGTCGCGATGACCTCATCTGTAGGGATGAAATCGATTGGCAGACACTTAAGACAAGTAATGCATTGTAGGGTTGATGTAAAACTTGTCACTTATTGGTCATTATTGCAGAGAAAGTGTTGATCACATTAGTCGACCACAACGTGAACGAAGAGATGGCAAGAATTGGCGAAATTATCGAAATCATTGATCACCACAAATATGACGCAAACCATTGTCTCGTAACGGATCCGTCGAAAGTGTTGGTCGACGTGTCGGTCGGGTCCTGTTCCACACTAATCGCCGAACGCTTTCTTAAAAGTGATTTGAAAGGAGACACACAATTGGCTCTTATGTTCTTCGGAACCATTATATTGGGTTTGAAAAGCATTGATTTCTATGATTGCATTCAATTGTATTGTTGTCTCAATGATTGTCTCAATGATTTCAGATACGATTAACTTCTCAGAAAGCGCTCAAAAGTACAGCGAAAAAGATAAAAGTGTTGTCAAAGACTTGGAGGCAATCATTGAGGACAAGACCATCTCTCGGTCGGAGTGGTTTCAACAGCTGATCGACGCCAAGAATTCCACTAATAATATGTCATTCGAGCAGTTGTTACTTAAGGACAAGAAATTAGTTCCCAACACAAGAATTATCATATCATCCATATCCGGCAAATTGGTCTCTGATCTGGACGCAGAAAGTAATCGTAAACTTATGCGAGAGTTGACCGCAAATGCGAGCAATCGATTCGATGCCATCATTATATTGGGAATTGATAACAGAATCGCAGATAATTTAAGCCGCGATTTAGCCATCTTTACCACAAATACGACACTCATGGAGAAGGTTTGGCATTTAAATCAGTTTTTACCGGTAAATGGATTTTATTAAAAAAAATCATTTCTAACAGATTATATCAAAACTTGAGTCCGAAAACAATGGCCTTGAATTGAGTTTAACCAAAGAGTTTAATGATTTACGAATTTATAACCAGAAGAATGTGAAGGCCTCTCGAAAACAAATTTTACCTTTGATTTCATCCCTCAGCGATACCAATGGCACAGGTATTTGAAAGTTGATTCTATTGATGCCTATGTTTAGTCTTAACTTTATTTCATTTTATGAATTGACTTTTCATTGTTTAACATATATTTTCAAATAAACTATTAAATATTGTTTAGTTCTAATGATTATAAAGTCTATCGGAATATATCAATAGATAATGATAGCACGAAATCTCCGAATAATCGGAAAAAACTGCTAAAAGCGCTCTCGACTGCAGACGTCGACCCAGACTTTGT